CACCACTGTTTGCTATTAGAGAAATGCATGAGTGTGGCCACATTCCACCAGAACTACAGAAGAGCGTAACAATTCTCATCCCAAAGAGGGACAAAAACCGGGCCCTGACGAAATCAGTGCGGCGTCTAAACCTCCTGAACGTATCGTTTGAAATTTTGACAAAAAGAAAACTTTAGCAGGCGCATTCGGGAATTGATTCGTGGACTAATCAATTCAGACCAGACCGGATTCGCAAAAGGGAGATACATCGGAGAAAATATTCGAACAGTGCCAGAGTTCCTGAAAACCACACAGGAAACCGGAATGTCGGGACTTCTTTTGCTTTGTGATTGACAAAAAACGTATGACTCTGTGGATTGGGAATACTCAAAGGCCGTCGTTGAGCAGTTTGGTTTTGGTGTCTCCACGCGTAAATGGATCAAGATAATTTACCCGCAAGATCACTCCCCTACCTCGGTGCAGGTACAACTAACGATGAGATGTCAAAACCGTACCAAAACATGCGAGGCCTGAGACAGGGATGCCTTTTAAGTTGCAGCCTATTCCTGCTGTGCATAGAACCTACGCTGCAATAAATCCGCGATAGCGTCCGCATTAGAGGCTTGACGTTTGAAAGAACAAAAATAAAAGTATCTGCGTAGGCGGATGACACCTTGATATTGATAAATAGTGAAGCAGAACCACTGAGAGAGTCAATAAGCCTGTTAACTCAATTTTGCGGTGTGTCTGACCTACGACGTTGCCAAAATGGAGCGTTTAAAGGGAATGTTCCACATTTGAAGATTTTGAGATAAGCATCGGATATGATGCTAAGGGTTTACTTGTGACCACCAGACTCCATTGTGGCCTTTATTGGGCCCACTCTGGTCTTAAAATGACCCATTCTGGCCTATAGATGGCCCATTGTGACCTGTAGAAGGCCTGTTGCTGGACCTATTACTGCTGAAAACCTGGCAGACAGATGTCCTGGCCCCTCGCTCATGCAGGTACGGCGGTCGGGCATGGCGTCCGAATTGCAGCAGCCGGCGCCAGGTCCTGCCGTCTCCGCCCTCCCACACCGACCACCGTGTGATGTGGCCGAGCGTTGTGAGTGCCGTCTGTGGCACGCGGGTGACCGGCGCCGGCTGGCCTGACGGCGTCGGCGTCCCCCGGCGGGGTATGATGGAGAACCGGGGCGACGCGGCGGCTGCGGACCTGGGCGGCATGGCGCTGGGCTGCTCGTCGGGCGGCACGCGCCGCGTCGGCCAGCGCTCCATATCCAGGCTGGTGCTGCTGGCTACGCGTGAGAGCCAGGACACCGAGCTACTGATGGCCGGCGGCGACCGGCCCGGCAGGTGAGCGGGCCACGGACAGGGCTCACGCACGGGTCAGGTCAGCGGGGCAGGGGAGGACGGAGGTCAGGTCAGCGGGGAGAGACAGGAGCAGCGGCGGGCGGAGGTTAGGCCAAAGCAGAAGCCACGTCGCATGGGTGCAGGTAGCGAGAGCGGGACGTTGACGGCGGCGTCCACTCCTACGGTGGCGGCAGTGCGTCGGCCGCCGCCGCGCTCTGACCCTAAAACCTCCGTGTCGAGAGGCTCGGACGGTTACACGCCGCCGTCACCGATGGCAGGACGCTGCCGGTGAAGCCACTTCCCAAACGGCGACGCTCGGCCCGATATGTTGGCGTCGGTGCCCGGCCGACGCCGTGCTTACCCGCACCCTCTGCCCCCGCTGCCGACGCCAGGAAGGACACGCACAACTACCACGAGCAGCTGCACATCGTGCCGTTCACGGTGCTGGCGCGCCTGGTGAACCCGGAGGAGAGCGCCGCCGGCGGCCCGGCCGACGGCGAGGGCCCCATGGAGGTGGACGAACAGTACATGCCGATCAGCCCGCGGCTGGCGCAGATGGCGCGGGACAAGCTCGCCAGGTGAGGCCGCCGCTCGGACGCCCGAGCTCTGGCAGAGTACTGCGGGCCGGCGGACTGGGCGCTGTGGCTGGTGTTGTTAGCTGTCCAGGGCTGCGGAGGGGGCGTGTCTGGGCCGGCTGGCGGAGGCTTGCTGTCTCCTGCTGTACTCACTGAGAGTCGAGGACGAGTCGCGTCACTCGTGTCGCGTCTCGCGCAGACTGCACACTCACTTACTTTGGAGTGGGTCATGCCGGGCTGTAGGGCTCCGTCAGTTGTTACGCGATAGCAATGAACAGCGGTGTATTTTCGCAAAATGGATTGGGGGCTGGTCAATGAAAAATAACGCATTTCCCTAAGATGTGCCAACGAACGGGGTTTTCCTTGGCTTTTACTAATTCTCTGCTGTCGGAGGAGGCGCCGGACGCGGCGGCCGTGCTGGAGCGGCTGCGGGCCGAGGCTGCCCTCACCGGCCGGGACGCCTCGCACGTGAAGCAGCTGATCTCGATACTGGAGGACGCCGGCGAGCTGGGCATGGGGCCGGCGCAGCTGCTGGTGCAGAGTCGTGCCTGAGTCCGGGGTGTACCAGACCCCTCTCTGACCCCCGTTCTGTCTCGAGTGACGGTGTGAGTTCCGTGACTGTAGTGCGCGTGCGGGCGCCGGGCCCTCTGACGCACTGCTGCGCCGGCCGGGCAGGAGAGCGGCCTGGCACGGCCCGAGCTGCGGCGTCTGGTGGCGCTGATGGTGCAGCACGAGCTGCTGCTGCGCGGCGGCGTCACGCGCCTGCTGTACGTGGTGCGCTCGCTCGGCCAGCGCTGGGTACTGCACTCGTACCACCTGACACGCCTGCAGCAGGAGTCGGCCGCCAGCGGCCTGGCCGCGGTCGGCGGCGACCTAGCCTCTTCCAGCCGCAGGTAGGTGGCGGCTTGCGTGCTGCGGTGGTGGCTGCTCCCCGTGGAGGACACGGTGGGAAGGGTGTGGTTTATCGCGTGGGCCGTCAGGTCCTGTGAATACGTGCCATATGGTGCCCGTTCTGGCGTTTACACGTTCTGAGGCAGCTCCGGCATGCCTCTGCCAAAGAGGTAGTGGTGGTGAGCTCGCTGGTGTCAGGCTGATAGCGCTTGAAAATGAGGTGTTTGGCACATCCGTGCAAGATTTGTTCAAAGTTTCTTTTTTAACTCAACTTCATTGGAATTTATGGTGTCATGTATAGCGTTAGAAAGGTGACGGGACTTGGAGTGAAGTGATAAAGCGTGGTATAATTATCCAATCTTGCGTCCACATTCGTCAAAAATGGTTTAGAACCTTCGTTATGGGAATCCCAACAATGGGATGAACACGATTGGCGGTGAATAGCGAGGCTCCCCCGCCGGTGTCCGTTCCGCTCACGAGGAGGTATGTAGGCTTGCTTTTGGAGTGTGGGGATTGCTATAGAACGCGCCGCTCACGTTATTGGGGAGTGCAGAAACTGTCGAGGCCAACATTGTAAGGAAACGTGATATTTGAACGCAGTTGTCAGCGTTAGCACTGAGCCCATTTCCGCTTCGCTACGTATCCAACGTTAGCGAGTGCTTACGAGTGTTTCAGCGCCACATGGCCGCCCTCTGACACCGCCCTGTCTGGGCCCAGCAGGGACATGCAGCCGGTGTTCTTCCAGACGGCGCCGTGGCGACGCGTCGGCGGCTCCATGAACCGGCGCGTGCTGGACCGGCTCTCCGACGCCGTGCTCAGCCACTGCATGACGTGGCCGGCCTGCCCGCTCGCTGCCGTCCAGAGCCACTTCCACCCCATGCTGACGGCAGTGCAGACGCGCCAACTGCTGGAGGTCCGTGCGGCCTTGCTGTCGCTCCGCGTGTCGTCTGCCTCCACCCCGACCCCAGGCTCTCAGCAACCTGCGCAGCCTAGGCGCGGCCGGTCTTTCGTCGTTGGAGGCGCGGTCGCGCAGTGTGCTACGTGTCAAGGGTGCAGCTCACGCGGTAGGCGGGGAAGGCTGCCGTCTGAGCAATGTCTGTTCCCCATCCGGCGGCGCTGGGACGCGGCCATCCGTCTCGGAGCAGGCTCTCTTGCTCATGCTTACCGTGTGTTCGTCGCTCCCGACCAGGCCGTCGGGTTCATCGCCTCTCGATCTACCCGCCTTGCCACCGTCGCTGCGGCGCCGGCGCGCCCAGCTGCCTCGCGCACGCCTACCGCGCCATTAACCCCCTCCCCCTCCTCCAGACCCTGGAAGAGGTGGGGTGCGTCGCCCTGACCGAGAGCAGACAGGTGTCCCGCACCACGCTCTTCTCCAAGCGCCCCGATCTCGCCTGGTTCAAAGGTGAGACCCGCGCACCGCCACGCCACACCTTGCGGCGGGTGGAATACCGTACTCCTGGGCTCGTCGGATCTTGGTGTGGAAGTTGGATGTCCAACCGGGCTGGATTGTGCTGGAGGACCCTAAATAAGCCACCCGTGTTTCTGAACGCTGCCGCCTGCGTAAATGGACGCAGATGAAGCATCAGCGTCATGCCTGGCGTCTCTGCCGTCGCCATTGGTGCTTAACGACGCACCCAACGACACACTGCTGCTGAGACCGTATGAGGTCGCTTGCCTCTCACCCTGGCAGGAAGGCACCCATTTTCGCCCCTCCCCCCCCCCCCCCTCCTCTGCATTGCACCGCGGCCGGTTTGGCTTTCGATTCCTAACTGCAGCGAGGCGGACTCCGTCCACCTCCAGCCCTCCCGGAACACGTGCCCGCGGCGCTGACGTGCCCGGGTCCTGCCGACGGCCCGTCGGCAGGACCCGCGGACGGCTGCAGCCCGCCCGACAGCGTGCTGGTGATGCCGGCTGCGGACGTCGTGTTCAAGTTCGCCTGCTTGTTCGGCGACAAGCCCTACAGCCACGAGTTCCTAGACACCGTCGGGCTGTAGTGAGCCGGGCCCGCAACCGCGGTGCGCTCCCGCGTCCGCGCCAGTACCGGCGCGCAGTACGTCCGCGTGAAGTCTCGCTGGCGGGCCGAGTCAGTGTGATGGTGACGATGGACAGCAGTCTTCGCGCTTTACGTGCCTATGTTTCTGTCCCAGGCCTCGGAGACTCGAGAGACGGACCAATAAAAAACGCATTTATTCGACTCCGCGAGTTCAATAAACTACAATAACTGAACGCGTGCTATGCACGCGGCTCCGGATTGCATGGTCCGGGTCGGCTCCCGGCAGACACGTGCCGGCTGTCCACAGACGCCACAGCGCGCCTCGAGCGGCACCTGCCATGCTGAGATGCGGGGGCCGGGCGCTACCCTGTCTCCCGCTCTCGCGAGCGCGACCAGACGGCTTTCACAGCCAATATCGGCCGGCCCAGCCCCCACCCGCCGCCACAGAATACTGGCACGAAGCCAAGCTTCCTCATGGAATGCCGCCGGCCACGAAATACGGTGTGCCGTCTTCGCGCTACCGGTGCGCAACGCCGCCACCCCGGTGCTCCCGCCAGGCGCGGGCGCCGGTCGCCGGCGCGGGGTCCGGCCGCTGCCAACCCGCTAAGAAACAAGCCGCCGGCCAGGCGCCCACTCCCGCCGGCTAACACAACGGAAACACTATCTACAGCTGCCACGACACGGCATGGCACGCGGCACGGTGGGGCGGCGCCGAGTCAGGCCGTCCCGGGCGCTAGTCCCAGTCCTCCGCGTCCATGGTGGCCGGCTGCTGGTTGTAGCCGGCCGCCGCGCCGCCCATGCCACCGACGCCGCCGCCGCACTGCGGGCGCACGAGCCAACAGTCAGTCAGATGCCGGGCGTCACCGGCCGGACGCACCGTGACCTGAGCCAATCACACCACTACACCAGGCTGGCGAGTTCGCATAAATAAGCACGGGACAACGCGGCTGGAGCACACCGGCGAAATCCAGATGTGGACACTCGCGTGCCCCAAACTGACAGTCGGAGCTTTCTCGTCAGAACGATACTGCAACGTAGTTTCCGTTGCAGTGTAGGAAATGTGCGTTACCTTATCGGCGACGTCGCCAATTCTGGGGCATCAAATGATTTCATGGGAGTAGAACTGAAATTGGGTAGAACTTGGCTTCCGCACACCAGTCGTTTCTCTCGTCTGATCATCTAGCGGCCGCCGTTCCACTTAAGAATTATCCTGGGTAAGGAGTAACTGACATAAGCAGAGACAGTGCACAATGTCGCAATGTTGCTCGCCACGAGAACCATGAATGCACCCTGTCGGTGCATTCCTCCCGCCACCCCGCGCCAATCACGTCCCCGACGCACCGGCCAGACTCGCCCCGCGCCGGATGTCGCGTGACGCGTACGAGCCGCCGGCAGCGCCGCCGAAGTCGGCGCTGCCGGCGTCGCGCTGCAGGAAGTCGGGCACCTCCTGCTCGGCGCCGGCCAGAATCTTCACCAGGTCGGCGGCCAGCGCGCTGTCGTAGAAGCCGATGGCGCTGCCGGTGTTGCCCACGCGGCCCGTGCGGCCGATCCGGTGCACGCAGTCGTCGATGGCCTTCGGCAGGTCGTAATTGACCACGCTGGCCACGCCCTTGATGTCTGGGGGAGGGGTGTCGGTTAGCCAGGGCTGCGCCGCGTCATGCAGATGCAGTGGGAACAGTATCCGGCATGTCGCAACAGTCTACTTACATGACCAACAAAATAAAAAATTACTACCAACGAATTAATCTCCGTTAAGCGTTGTGCTCATACAAACTGGATCAGGTTCACTGTTGGATCGGGGACTTTGCTTACCCCTGCTCACTTTCGTTCCGATCTTTTCTGACATTAACATGGATTAACTCCAAACGCAGGTACAATAATTACTCACGGAAGGGCACAACAGTTCGACCTCTGTTTGATGAAAATCTCGACGACGCCTGATCACGACGCGCCACACAACACGCCTGGCATCCAACCACGCAGCGTTCGCTTTCGGCCACGAGCGCACGAGCCCCGCCGACATGGATGGTCTCGGGGCGGCGGCCACTCACCGAGGCCGCGCGAGGCCACCGACGTGGCGATCAGCGTCGACGTCTTGCCGTACGTGAAGTCAGCCAGCGCCTCCTCGCGCTCGCGCTGCAGCCGGTCGCCGTGGATGCTGGTGGTCGGGAAGCCGGCCTGACACAGGTGCGACGCGATGAAGTCGGCCACCCGCTTCGCCTCCACGAACACCTGGCGGGAGGGGCAGGCGAGGGCAGACGGCGGCACGGTCACGCGGCGGCCGCGGCCTCACGGCTGAGGGTCGCCCATGGACCCGGTCCAGGTCGCGCTCGGTGCAGCAAAAGATAACGAGCGGTGGAAACATCACGGTTCGACTAGGCTTTAGCTTAAGGCTTCAGCTTATGAAGGTCATATGCATTATTAGAGGAGCCTGACCACAATCCGCGAATACATTTACTGAGCCTTAATGACAAGCTGAATACCCATCACTGCCGTTAACTAGCATTGGCGCTGGCTTGAAATCAACAGTGTTGAAGTTGTTCTGGTCTCACTCGCAGGATCTTAGCTCGGCTCATACATTACCTCACGACAGCGACGCGCGCGCGCGAGCGACCGGATTATCACTGCTCCGCGATTTCGGGCGCGAGTCAGCTGGTGATCCGTCAACTGATCTGACGGGTCACATGACCCGGCGCCGGGAGGCCTATATCACAATTGAAAATGTTGCAGTTATGTTATCAATTTTTCTTAATAAAGACAGAGACATGCCCATCATTAGAAGACATTACTAACGTCGGCGAATGGTGATAGCCATCGCCACCACCAGGTTCCCTCAGGTACCTGTAGTGAAATGAAGCACTGCTTAAAAACGCAAAACAGGGGAACCACAGAATAAACATGACTGCAAGCCGCGGATTTATTTTGCACTCACGACAATCATGCGGATGGTAAACTCCATTCACAGGCTCGGAATTAATTGCTGACGTCTAATTTAATTCACACGTCCAGTTAGGTAGTAAGGTGCAGCATGTTTGGAACAACTCATATCGTACTGTAAAGACCTTTGAGATACGAGAAAATTTGCATGCAAAAATGGGTGATAACCTCTTCCTTATAGGCTTAGGCACCGTTGTAAAACAATCATAGCCAGGTGCAGTACCTACAAGTAGTGTTCCTGAAGCTGTGTGCACGCTGCATGATACAAGGTTGTGTAGCCTAAAGGGCACTCTGCTGCCTGAACAAACCAATGGTTACCCTTTAGCAAGGTGCAGGATGGTACGCTTGACTGTTGGTAGGCCGGCCTTTCGCATCGCACGTCGCAGGATCATGTACGTGCTGCTGGACACCACCAGCTTGTTGCTTGTTGCCGATCGTCTGGAACATAACACACTGTGAAATAGAAATTGTAATAGACTGCAGATGTAGAGTTAATACCTATGACGATGACTGCAACAACTAAGGTGGGGACTTACTGGCAACTCTGCTCTGGCTTTAGAGCATAGGAGCAAACAAGCTGCATCAATGTTTTATACGGCATTGTCCACACAATACTACATGCAAATGTGCAATTTCACTAATTAGACAGATTTCAGGCTGCTAGTCCCTTTAGTCATCTAGGTGTTTCATGTAGTCCTTTAAGTCCCTGTAGATCTTACTAAGTTCCTTGTGTTTGGCACAATATGATCACTATAAGACAATGTCAGCATCAGATTTCAGGCTGCTAGTCCATTTAATCATCTAGGTGTTTCATGTAGTCCTTTAAGTCCCTGTAGGTCTTACTAAGTTCCTTGTGTTTGGCACGATATGATCATCATAAAACAATGTCAACATCAATAAGTATTGCAAATTTAATTATCTTTATGTCATCACTTAATGCAGTTTGTACTATGATTTTTGTAAAACAAATTTTAATATTCTTGTTCAAAAGTAAACTAATTTTCAAAATCAACCCAAAAAGAAAACACTCAGAGCCGGATTCTGGTCTTTGAGATGGTGTAGACACAGGAAACGCTGGGGTGCCTGGAACACATTCCCTGTGCTGAAAACAATTCAGGACATCAATGATCAGTATCAGAAAGATTGGCAATGCACAAAGCTGTCACACGATGTACAGGTTATAGGACAGCACTGCGACATGTGCGCCAAGTATAGCACAAAACAGTGTTTTACTTGCATCATATAAATGCTGATATCAGAAATTACTGCAGCTCACTGAAATGCATGAATGAATAATAACTGAAAGCGGACATGGCAATGAACGAAACAAAAGGTGATCACAGAAATGTCATGTGTGCTCTAATGTTGAATAAGTTCAAGTCTGAATGCCAAGACTAAATATGAAGTGTCTGACAAAAAAAAAAATTGGCCGTCAGGCTGGAAAAGGGATGTGACGGAAAATGTGTCTGGCACACTCCATGCCACGTCTTTGGAACACTGATACCACATACATCAAGTCATTTCTGTTGGTGGCCTTGTTGAGCTGGGAATCTGAAAGGGTCACAGTAATTGGGAAATTGGATTACTATACAATACAATGGACATCTTCTACTTCAAATGAGTAATGCAAATTGAAAATATCTGCCCACAATGTGTGCGTTAATCATCATGCTAAGTGGTGATTCATCAGGAGTACATCTGAGATGCCAAAAATGTCTGACTCATTTTGAAAGGCCCGTCATCCCAAAAATAAGTAATACAAGCTGAGGCCATGCACCCTTGAACTTTGCAAGCTGTGAGCATGGTGCATAGCTGTCACCAAATCTAGTTAATAGTAAGCAAATTTAGTGTTTTAAAAAAGTGGCAGCAGCATGGCAATACCCAAACAATGTCATGGCCAGAATATGACAGCTTGGAGCTCAGCCAAGTGCAAATCTGTTTACAGCACATAGAGTTCAGTGGTAAGTTGAGTACACTGATGATTCCTGTAAGTTGGAACAATGGAATAGTTTTTGACTGATATCCCTGATCCTTGCCTGACTGACAAAATTCACACTGTATTCACACTCGACCGGTCCGGAAATTATCCCCCGGATTAGTCCCCCATACGCCATCCACAGCTAACTGTCATAGCTATGCATGGCGAGAACAGATTCTTCGTCTTGACCATGCTCTGAAAGTTCTCCGGGATTCTCTGTCGCTACGGAAAATTACCGGACAAATTTCCGTGACGGCACTGCCGAACGCCATTCCGAAAAATTCCCAATATTCCGGATAACTTTACAAGAGTATCTGCCGGCCGGACGCGCCCCGCAAAAATGCAAAAATGCCTTCAAACGTGCCGGCAAAAATGCCTTCGAAAATTAAACAAGGTCTTAAAAAGCAGATGCACGCGGCAGCTGAATAGCGGGTGCAATTGCTAGGAGCTGGTCTTACGGTTGCCACCAATTTCAGAAATAGATTTGTTTATGTACTTTATTGCCGCAAAAACATACAAGATATTAATGTTGAGAGTAACTGACTGGGGCCAAGTATGGCATGTTGGCGGAGCACGTTGTATGACACATTGGCAAGTAGCTTTTAATAACATTTTTGAGTAAGTTCAAATACTTTTCCTTGTTTCCATCACTAGGTTATGGGCACCACATGACCAATGTAGTTGGCGCGCCCAAAAGCCCAAATCATCATCGTCATCATACTTGTTTCCATCTCCTACCTATCTCACCGCCATCATGGAGCTACACCTTGGCTATTTGATGTAACCACTTCTTAAACAGATGAATTACACATACTTGCATAAACTTGCATGAACAGTGTGAATTTTGTCAGTCAGGCAAGGATCAGGGATATCAGTCAAAAACTATTCCATTGTTCCAACTTACAGGAATCATCAGTGTACTCAACTTACCACTGAACTCTATGTGCTGTAAACAGATTTGCACGTGGCTGAGCTCCAAGCTGTCATATTCTGGCCACGACATTGTTTGGGTATTGCCATGCTGCTGCCACTTTTTTAAAACACTAAATTTGCTTACTATTAACTAGATTTGGTGACAGCTATGCACCATGCTCACAGCTTGCAAAGTTCAAGGGTGCATGGCCTCAGCTTGTATTACTTATTTTTGGGATGACGGGCCTTTCAAAATGAGTCAGACATTTTTGGCATCTCAGATGTACTCCTGATGAATCACCACTTAGCATAATGATCAACGCACACCCTGTGGGCAGATAATTTCAATTTGCATTACTCATTTGAAGTAGAAGATGTCCATTGCATTGTATAGTAATCCAGTTTCCCAATTACTGTGATTCTTTCAGATTCCCAGCTCACAAGGCCACCAACAGAAATGACTTGATGTATGTGGTATCAGTGTTCCAAAGACGTGGCATGGAGTGTGCCAGACACATTTTCCGTCACATCCCTTTTCCAGCCTGACGGCCAATTTTTTTTTTTTGTCAGACACGTTATATTTAGCCTTGGCATTCAGGCTTGAACTTATTCAACATTAGAACGCACATGGCATTTCTGTGATCACCTTTGTCTCGTTCATTGCCATGTCCGCTTTCAGTTATTATTCATTCATGCATTTCAGTGTGCTGCAGTAATTTCTGATATCAACATTTATATGATGCAAGTAAAACACTGTTTTGTGTTATACTTGGCGCACATGTCGCAGTGCTGTCGTATAACCTGTACATCGTGTGACAGCTTTGTGCGTTGTCAATCTTTCTGATACTGATCATTGATGTCCTGAATTGTTTTCAGCACAGGGAATGTGTTCCAGGCACCCCAGCGTTTCCTGTGTCTACACCATTTCAAAGTCCAGAATCCGGGTCTGAGTTTATGCAAGTTTATGCAAGTATGTGTAATTCATCTGTTTAAGAAGTGGTTACATCAAATAGCCAAGGTGTAGCTCCATGATGGCGGTGAGATAGGTAGGAGATGGAAACAAGTATGATGACGATGATGATTTGGGCTTTCGGGCGCGCCAACTACATTGGTCATGTGGTGCCCATAACCTAGTGATTGAAACAAGCAAAAGTATTTGAACTTACTCAAAAATGTTATTAAAAGCTACTTGCCAATGTGCCATACAATGTCCTCTACCAACATGCCATACTTGGCCCTAGTCAGTTACTCTTAACATTAATATCTTGCATGTTTTTTGCGGCAATAAAGTACATAAACAAAACTATTTCTGAAATTGGTGGCAACCGTAAGACCAGCTCCTAGCAATTGCACCCGCTATTCAGCTGCCGCGTGCATCTGCTTTTTAAAGACCTTGTTTTATTTTCGAAGGCATTTTTGCCGGCATGTTTGAAGGCATTTTTGCCTTTTTGCGGGGCGCGTCCGGCCGGCAGATACTCTTGTAAAATTATCCGGAATATTGGGAATTTTTCGGAATGGCGTTCGGCAGTGCCGTCACGGAAATTTGTCCGGTAATTTTCCGTAGCGACAGAGAATCCCGGAGAACTTTCAGAGCATGGTCAAGACGAAGAATCTGTTTTCGCCATGCATGGCTATGACAGTTAGCTGTGGATGGCGTATGGGGGACTTATCCGGGGGATAATTTTCCGGACCGGTCGAGTGCAAATGGAAAATTTCCATGGAGGATTATCGAAGAGATTACTATTCGTT